GAGTAGAACAACTGGCAGTGAGAGGTTTCTGGAGAAGCAAACAGGTTTACCTGAGTAGCTCCGAAATGCCTCCAAATCAGCTGGACCGTCTGGGGATGGAGTCGCCATTCTCCCGGAAGCACAGCTCGAGACGGCTCGTCGGCTGCTCGGTTGAGGAATAGCCTGTGGCGCGGAAGGATCACACATGGAAGTACGCGTCCTTCAGGTCGATCGTTGCGAACCAGACTTGGGGACAGATGCACCTGAAGATGCACTTCTATTCCGCGAAGGGACTTTAGAATGGATGCCTAATTGGTGAATCAGTTTGAATCGGTTCATTGACATAAACTGTCCGAACGAACCGATTCTATAAAATGATTCGGTTAAATCACATGATCTGCTGCACAGCCAGCCATCACGTGACTCCTCAAGCAAGTGTACTATTTTCAGTGGATTCAAACCACAGGAGTATGAAACAAAAAGAGGGCATTACGTTACATCACATGTAGATTTGTCTCCGAATCATGCACAGTTCAAAGCTCAGAGAATAAATATGCATATGTATCAATATGTGAAAACATTCCTCACCTTTAGGATCAAACATAGGTTTACTGATACTGTCCATCTTACTGCTTAATAAAATCCCCTTGCAATTACGTAATCTATCCGATCACCTGTTAAGGGTTTTTAACATTAATTCATTGATTGCTTCTTTTTAGAGTTTCAAGTTGATCGTCCTCCCTAAGTGTCCTCAAGTGAACAGTGCTGCGCACATTACACGCGGTATGTGGCTTCTAAAGATGAATAACCCGAACAGCGCTGGCACTGTTTAAAGGCTCCCCGAGCACATAAATAATAAGAACTACAGTAACATCTTCTGATTTCTCTCAACATGGGGACAGGAGAGCTTTCAATCAATAAACTGGAAAAAAAAAAGTAACTTGCGTTACTTATTTGAAAAAGTAACTCAGATATTCTCTTGTAAATTAAAAGGTAATGCGTTATTTTACTAGTTACTTGAAAAAAGTAATATGATTACGTAACTCGTGTTACTTGTAATGAGTTACCACAACACTGTAAATGATACTAAAATAAAACTGCTATAATTTAAATTTTTATATATATATATGACTTATTTTATTTATTTACTTATTTATGCATGCATATTATTTATGCATGCATGCTTTTACAGTAAATGCAACATTGACTCCAAATGTGACTTTTTTTTTTCTTTTTTTCCACATTAGGATTTCTTGTATTTTCAATTTTTTTTCATATTTGTATCTCCTTCAGGTCGCTACTGGGCAGAAATATCAGACACTATCATTTCCGGAACGTTCAGGCAATGGAAAGAAGGAAGCACTAAAAGCGAGACTTACTATCCAGGTACTACAACCATACGTCACCAACACACAGGTCAGTCTAACAGTGCTCTCAGATCTGAGCCGTAACGCTTGCGTGTGCTTGTTCTGGCAGGAGACACTATCGTGCATGCGGTGGGAGAGGCCACGTCAGTGCAGTGGAGCGCCGGGACATGGATGGTGGAGTACGGCCGAGGATTCATTCCCTCCACGCTGGGCTTCGCTCTGGCCGACACCGTCTTCAGCACCCAGGACTTTCTAACTCTATTTTATACTGTACGTGTTTATGTGAAGGGTATGATCCTGGAGGCTAGCACTTTCCTCACTGACACCGGCGTCCTCTGAAAACCACACAGCGCCGCACGTCACGTCCCTTTGTTATTCCGAAAATTGATCACAACATCAGGTGTTCGTTTGCTAATGGAGAACCGACGACATGTTGAATTGCCTGTATGGAAAGCACTTAATGTAATTACTTTTCCAATGATTAAAGTTTTATTTTCCATACTGTACAAAGAGTTTATCAAATGTCTTTTCTAAAAGTGAAACATATTTGTTGGTCAACAGACTGCTTGTGGTCCAGTGTCTGTGTCTGAACATGGCAAGATGTTTTAGCACCTCAGTATTGTCCAGAAACGGTTAATACGAGGTATGGATTAAAAATCAGAAGATATTTTCCGTATTTCCAGATCACAGTCTTTGCACCTTCAATACACTGTGAATGCTAATTGTTGCTTAGTTTTCCATAAATTACAATTGCTGTTCAAAACTGATGTGTCTATGTTCAGCTAGAATAAAACCGTTAATTAGTATTGTTGAATAAGTCTTATATTTAATTCATTTATTCAATTATTAATGTATTTGCTCAAGTTATTTAGAAATGAATTTCTTTTGTGTTCTGTTATGTATCTGTCAAATAGTGAATGTGACAAAAACAATTATTATTTTCTATAATGTACAAAGAGTTTATTTTTTAAAAACAAAAAAAACTTTTAGAAAATGTTGAAAACAAGTTTTTGCTGCTTCATATTTTTGTGGAAACTGTGATACAATACCATTCAAACGTTTCGGGTGAGTAAAAAGGGAGAAAAAAAAGTTATAGGCTACACATGTGGTTTCCAAAAAAAAAAAAAGTAAGCAAAACTATAAGGATCATATGACACTGAAGACCGGAGTAATGATGCTGAAAATGCAGCTTTGATCACAGAAATAAACAATATATCCACATAGAAAACAGTTATTTTAAATTGTAAAAATATTTTAAAATATTAATAATTTTACTGGATTTTTTTTTATCAAATATATGTAGCTTTGGTGAGCATTATTCCAATTTTGTTTCGTTTTTTTGACCATTAGTGTATGTAATTTTGTATATTATTATAAACAATGCATACGTAGTCTTTTCTGCTGGTGATGAGCGGCAGTATCAGGGACTCACTCTCTCTCTCTCACACACACACACACTCATCTCAGCTCGCTGCAGGCTCATCTCAGCTGTGTGTGTGTGTGTGTGTGTTCATATTAGCATGGATCTCTCTTATCAAGCCATAAGGACCGCTAATCAGGCCAGGGAGGCGGTGAGTGCTGAAGTCAAGGTGTCGTTGTTGTTGTAGCTGTCGTGTTAAACTCCTTGATTTCACACGCCGGACAGATAAACTGCAACCTGTTGAGCTGCAAATGGGCTAAAATATTCGTATGGCATAAATGTGGTGAGATAAATGGGGTACAAATGAGGTCGAGTGTCTTTTGATCGTTTTTCGTATCATATTGTTGACACTTAGCAAGATGGCTAGTTAGTTACTAAGTACGCGAGAGTCCTGTGTTGCCATAGCAACCTGTCATGCCGTCTTTGCGCTTCCCTTAATGTAATATTTGGCGCCATCTACCGGATAATCAATAAATTCTTCCATCTGTTACAACTAAAATGTATCCGTTTTAAATAATAATTAAGTAGATTCCCACAGATTCCCCACAAAATACCGTAGATGCTTCAAGTAGGGTTACCACAGGAAAGCCGTGACACATTTAGTATGTCGTTGATGTAATTTTAAATAAATGTATTGTGAATTTATTTTTTAGGATGAACTAAGAACAGAAACACGCAGGAGAAATTTGCTGGTTATGATTTATCATCATTTACTCGAGGAGGGGTGAGATCTTTTAAACATTACTTAAAATGGCATGAACATTGAGTGGCTCTAAAGAAAAGACACAAGTGAAAACATTTAAATAATGTCTTCCTTGACTACTACACAGGTATATGGATTCAGCTAAAGCTTTAGAAAAAGAAAGCCGTTTTGCTTTATGCCATTTTGAGGTGTGTGATAATGTTGAACTGGAGACCGTTCTTATGGAATATGAGAGTTATTATTTTATAAAGTTTCAAAAATATCCTAAACTAACAAAGAAACTGGGCGAACAAGGTGAGATTGTACTCTTAATTTATGTAAAACGTCATAAATAGTGTGTGTGTGTGTGTGTACCTGTTTTTCTATCCTGGTGGGGACTTAAACCTGAATACACACAGGCTCATGGGGACTCGTGTCACGGTGGGGACCTAAATTGAAGTCCCCACGGGTAAACAAGCTAATAAATCACACAGAATGAAGTTTTTTGAAAATCTAAAAATGCAGAAAGTTTCCTGTGAGGGGTAGGTTTAGGGGTAGGGTTGGTGTAGGGCAATAGAATATACGGTCTGTACAGTATAAAAACCATTACACCTATGGAGAGTCCCCACAAGGATAGCTGACCAGACATGTGTGTGTGTGTGTGTGTGTGTGTAAATGTATAAAGTATCAAGTTTCATGACATTTCTATTATGTTTCTGCATGTACATTAAACAGTGATTTGTTAAGCAATATATAATGTAATAACACTTGTTAATACTGTTAATGAAAGTTCAGTATCATTCAGTATCTTTTTTTTTCTTTATAGGAGAGAGTCGGCTTATAAGTTGTAAAGAGTTGTGGTAAAAGAAGGTAAAGACCTTCTTTTACCACAAGACTCATAAGAAAAAGACTCTGTATAATTTATTTTTAATCACCAGACATCATCATCCAGTCACACACTCCCAAGAATCAACTCCATCCAGCGACCTCCATCCAGAAACAGTAAAAAAGACTGAATCTAAACTAACAGGAAGAGACAACAGCAAATCCAGTGTAAGTCTACAAACAACTACACAAACTGAACAAACTACTGTATCCTATATACACAATAAATAGTCACTTTGCATGATCTGTCCAGGAAGGAGAGCAGCTGATGCCTGCGGACACATCTTACGTGATGTGACATGACATGTGGCCAAGTATGGTGACCCATACTCGGAATTAGTGCTCTGCATTGAACCCATCCAAAGTGCACACACATCGAACCCGCAACCTTTGGGTTACAAGTCCGACTCTCTAACCATTAGGCCACGACTTCTTACGACTCAGTCCTGCCCTGCACAGATTTCTCAGTAGGTCAACTGTTGTGATATTCTGTTGATTAACACAGAAAATAATTCTGAAACATACCTCATCCCTTGTGTCTGACAGGAGCGTTTGCTGAAACCCATGAGTGCCTTCATTGGGATGAACAGTGATATGAGGGAACTTGCAGCAGTTATTAGCAGAGTAAGTCAATGTTTATGAAACTGCTTCCTTGTGTGGCAGTTTGTTTGAAGCTATTTTAAGGAAATATGATCAAGTCTGTCATTGTACCATAAAAGTAATAATAAAAATACACTTAGCATGAATATACAGTATATATATATATATATATATATGAAACGTGAAGAAAGTGCAGTGAAAATTATTTTAAATTTTAAATTTTAATTAAATTTCTTTAATTTCTACTAGACTTTTATTCAGCGTGTGGACTTTTTTTTTGATCATTTGATTTTTGTTTCATGCTCTTGAAGCATTACATGTGTAACTGAGTGCAACATTCTATTTCTATTTTTGCTTTAAAATCAACAAAAATCAGAACAATTAATTACAGGTTATTTCACTATATGAGAATTGGGAGAGGAAATGTCATAAAAATAATTATAAAAATAATGTCACAATGCAAAATATCTTGATTGGTCTAAAATAAGCTGCATCTTCATACATTTGATTTTGATGTTTCACCGATTTATACCATATTTTACATGTAAAGATAAAAATTGGACAATCAGATATATTTCTGATAATTAAAAAATATATATTGTGCAAATCCAACATTTATTCAACACTAGAGATCAGCATACAGTCTGTTTTATAATATAGTGTGACAGATCCCAGTATCACTCTGTGCGTGCGTGAGTGTGTGTGTGTGTGTGTAAAGTTTTTTTTTTTTTTTTTTTTTCAATGTGATATTATTTTAATAACAGTTAAGCATATTCCCCCACAATCCTCATAACCATAAACTTTTTTTTTGTTGATAATTTTAATTTTTCTGTGATGATTCTTATTAAATTCTTACAGTGATACAGTACAAAAAATCAATCTGTATTGACAAAATCATAGTTTAATATTACTGCTTGAATCTAAATTACTGTCCACACACTGAATAAAGATTCAGAGTAAAAATTCTAGTAGAAAAGAAATTATATACACACACAATGGCAAAGTGAACAAAGTACAGTCAATTAAAAAATGTACTTTGCAAATAAAATAAAAAATAAAAATAGAATATTTATATATTTAATAATATATATTGCATTGACAAAATCATATTTTAAAATTACCATTTGAATCTAAATTACTGTCCACATACTGAATAAAGATTCAGAGTAAAAATTCTAGTAGAAAAGAAATTATATACACACATTTGCAAAATTAAGAAAGTACAGTAAATTTTAAAAACTGTACTTTGCAAATGTAAAAAAATAAATAAAATAGTTATGTATTTAATAATATATATATATATATATATTGTATTGACAAAATCATATTTTAAAATTACTGCTTGAATCTAAATTACTGCCCACATACTGAATAAAGATTCAGAGTAAAAATTCTAGTAGAAAAGAAATATATATATATACAGTATATATATATATATATATATATGAAACGTGAAGAAAGTGCAGTGAAAATTATTTTAAATTTTAAATTTTAATTAAATTTCTTTAATTTCTACTAGACTTTTATTCAGCGTGTGGACTTTTTTTTTGATCATTTGATTTTTGTTTCATGCTCTTGAAGCATTACATGTGTAACTGAGTGCAACATTCTATTTCTATTTTTGCTTTAAAATCAACAAAAATCAGAACAATTAATTACAGGTTATTTCACTATATGAGAATTGGGAGAGGAAATGTCATAAAAATAATTATAAAAATAATGTCACAATGCAAAATATCTTGATTGGTCTAAAATAAGCTGCATCTTCATACATTTGATTTTGATGTTTCACCGATTTATACCATATTTTACATGTAAAGATAAAAATTGGACAATCAGATATATTTCTGATAATTAAAAAATATATATTGTGCAAATCCAACATTTATTCAACACTAGAGATCAGCATACAGTCTGTTTTATAATATAGTGTGACAGATCCCAGTATCACTCTGTGCGTGCGTGAGTGTGTGTGTGTGTGTGTGTGTGTAGATACATACAGAAGGTGGAACATGTATTATTGAAGCACTCGATTTCATCTTTCTATCCTGTCTCTCCATAAAGGATATCTATTTACACAACCCCAACGTTGTGTATGTCTGGGACGACATTATAGGCCTGGAGGATGCCAAGCGATTAGTCAAAGAAGCTGTCATCTACCCCATTAAGGTGCTTGGCTGCTAAACACTTTGGTATTTCTCAAGCTGCCGCCTGCC